TTAGTGAGTTAACGCGGAGACATTTTTCGAAAAGGATTTTTTTAATAAAATGTTTTGTTTTGAGGAAATATAACCTAAATTGTGGTCACAATTAGTTAGTGAAGTTTCTCAAGTAACTCAAAATTCAAGGTGTATATTTAAATATTTCTAGGTATTTTTTTTTATTTCAGTTATTGTTTATACTTAAGAAATCCCACATGACAGTGATTAACAAGGCGATTTTACGAATCAGAATTCCAATACCTATTTAGATTATTACATTTATATTTTTAAGTATTTAACTGTTAGATGTTCCCGTCAAAAAACTGGACGGAGTGGTATTTTTCAAATATATTTTTCGGTAAAAATTCATGTTTTTATTTTCTTTTATTTCAAAGTATTGTAATGGGATTACAAAGTAACATGCTGAAACATGCATCATAAATGTAAAATAAGATATCAAATCAGAACACCCTATATTCTAAACAAGCATCAAGACAAAACGCTCCTTTATTTATATGTAATTCGTTTATTGTTTTATCTTACTTTATATTTACGATCGGGGACTTCTGCTCGAGTCGGCCGGTCCATGTCGAGCGACAAATAAATTTTCAAATTTATCTGCCCACATATTTATGTGTTATGCCCGATAATACCACAGATACACGGCAATATTAATTCGGACCCCTTCGAATCGTGTGAAGTGTCAATTTTGAATTCTGATTTATTTTAATGACGACACTTTTTATTGTTTCATGCGCCCGTCATTTGTTTGGAGTGTGGTATGGTTGTGTTTTGTTTTTTTTTGACGTTTCTGTAATCACGGTGAGCTTTCCGAGTTGGCGATTTCACCTTGCTCGTTTGCGATTTTGAAATAATTATAACGAAATTATGTCGAAGCTGGCCAGAGAAAAATAGAAACAAGAGAAGATTAATACATAATATTATTTGTTTGCCTACCGCTTAAGGCAAGGTCTATGAAGTTCTTTATCATTTGCAGCGTGTACAATATGTCGAGTATTCTCAATTCAAAATAGACTATTAAAGTCCGAGGAAGCTATAGTTGGATGAATGTTCCCTTGGGTAATAATGACATTTAAATCTGGAAAACATTCAATAAAACCACATACATAAAACTTTGTTTCTGAAACATGTTTCTCTACACACGCCATCTAATGCTCACGTGGCTATCGTACACAAAATACACAGTTCTACGTTTAAAAACTACGTTCAGGTGCAACAAAGGTCACAAACACTGTTTGACTGAAGTTTCCTACATTTTATGTCATATTTGAAACGTCAGAGTAAAAAGTTGTACTCGGAGCCACGTGTTTTTCAAACAGGCTCGGAAAGCAAAAATATTACAACGCTACTAAGTGGATCTCATTGAGAGTTCGCTTGCATAATAAAGATTCCATAATTATGACGGTTGTGACGAAAAAGTTTTTTTTCGCATTCGCCAAATAGATGGTACATCTAAAACGGAACGTCGTTCCAAAAAAAAAATATGCAAAAAGCGACGTTTATCATTTTCCGGTTTCAGGAAGACATTCTGTGTCATCATCGATCTAATCAGTTCATAATCTATCATCATTATGGAATCTACTGCAAGCGAACTCACAATGAGATCCACAACAGGTAGTTACTCTAACTTTATCTCATATAAGAGTAATAAATAAAGTCTACAAATATTGTGACTATTCCTATGCATATATATGCTATGTTCTTGTTGGAGAACAACAGGAATCCAATAATATAAATATACTAGCGGCCCGCCCTCGCTTCACTTCGGTGTAGAGCTGAAGTGTAGACTACAGTTTTTGTTCTCAGGCTTGTATTAAACACAATGACATTCATCTATGATTCTTCTTATATCTGCATGCAAAGTCTCAGCCCGATCGGTTTAAAATTGATAAAGTTTCATACAAACTTTCATTCCCTATTTTAACCACTTGGGGTAGAATAACATCTACCTGCATGCCAAATTTCAGCCCGATCCGTCCAGTGGTTTGGGCTGTGCGTTGATAGATCACTATGTCAATCAGTCAGTCACCTTTGAGTTTTATATATAGAAGATTGTTTATTTTCTTAAAAGAGGGGAAGGAGTAAATATGATTACAGAATGAATTTAAGAAACTAACTAGTCGTGTACTGACAATCAACGCACAGGCCAAACCGCTGGGTTTAGAGGCTCCAAATTTGGGTAGCAACGTAGGTTCCTTAAGATGTTGCATGTATCCCTATGCACTAAGAAAGGATTTCTTTAAATTCATCCTCGAAGAGTTTGGAATAGGGGATGAAAGTTATACTTATTATGGTATACTTATCTAAATAAATTATAAAGTTTGCTATATTTGGTTTGCTTAACTACTCCGAAAGGGGATTGCGGTTTCGATACAGCGTTACCGAGTAAAACTGTTTTTTTAATAAAAAAAAATATCGAGTAAAAGATTTTCTTAACATTTTTTTTCCAAAATTCCACGAACGGTAGCACCACAACGAAGCCCAAAAGGTCATTATCTTTATCAGGTTTTATACTCACTGATGGGGCACAGCCTGCAACACCCTTTAAGGAAGGAGTAAGCTTTATTTTTTAAGGTTTTCTGGTCGTATTGGTTTGAAAACACTGCTGGCGACAATATATTTCACAGTTTTGTCGTATGTGGCATTTTTTTTTGACAAACTCGCACGATTATAGATAGCGACGCATCAAGATGATGGGGATGAAATTGATGTCTCGATCACAGAACACAGACAGAGGTTAGAAGGGTCTTGTGGGCGGGGCAGGCACATAACTGTGGCATGTGTGAGCAAATGCTCGCAACTTGACCAAAACTTGGTTCTGATTACGTTGCTCTCAGGTGTGAGCGCCGATGGTCACGTTGTTTGATTGGCTTTTGTCATTTAAGTGGAAGTGTAGTGGGGGCTTGCCGGCGACATCGGTTCCCGTACAAACGGTCAATGATCACCCTTCTAAACTCTTCCTGTGTTCTGGTGGTCGCGATGTACGATGGCAAATACATATGAATGGAAAAGGAACAAGGGACTACACGGACCCAGTGCTGATTGGTGGATGTTAACGGAAGCAGGTGCAACAATTAAGACTGTCTTCCTAATTTAATCTTACCCCGGCCAATCATAGACATAGACCATGTAAGCCGAAAGTAATTTTACTCACAAAAGCCGTCTACTGCGCAATTTTATTAATTTATAAAAAGTTTCCCGCTAGCTATGATAATGTTTCAATATGTTTGAGATAATACTTGTTTTCAGGTCAACCATTGAATGACAGAAGTTGCTTCTCTTCTACAAATGCAAGACGCAAGCGTTAACCTCCTCATATCATCCACTTGCAGTAAATATGCTAATATTGATTCAACTAAAACTAGATTTTAACCATAAAAAAAAATCGAATCGTCAATACTTTGGCATTATCTATGCTTTAGCAAAATTACTGCAAGTTGAACTAAGTAAAAAAGGGTTTGTAAGCCCACTTCCATCAACATTATAAAATCAAATCACATCATTTCGTTTTCGTCATTCGATTAAATCAAATTGAGACAGAACGAAGTTAAACACGATCAGAACTTTCAAATTTGAATAAAGAACTATGAGCTTTAAATTTAAAAATCTAATCTTCCTATTTTAAACGTTTTGTCGCGGGGTTTCGAACAAGACCAATAGCATGCTGGCTGGTTTATTCGATTTATAAACCTATCGAGTAAAATCTTCTCCGATAAATCGTTTGTCCGGCGGACAAAATCGTTTTTATCGGTACCAACGCTGGGTGGTGCAACATCGTACGCTTACTTTGTACCAGTCGTTCTGGACTATGAAAGCAATTTGTTAACACGATAGAGTTTACAGATATTTAAAACTAGAACCGTTTAGAGAAAACCACTTTTATTTTACCCTTTTTTCTGACAAATTTTATTAGTTAATAATGAGTAGTAATGGTAAATTAAATTGAAATTAGGAGGAAAGAAAACGTAGTTTTTCGTGTACTTATTTAAATACTTACATTTAATAAGTGATTTTTATTTTTAAGGGGAAAAAGATGTAATTTAATGATGTAAATCAGACAACGACTTTAGAGGCGCACCTTCTTAATTAACTGCTATCACTTCCATTTAGAGATGCCTATTTTCAAAAAACTGCTTAGATGAGTGGAATGACCTTTTCTTCTTTGTATTGTTCATGTGTTACGCCAATATGGACTAGGAATACATATGTAAGTACATTAAATCACAGGCATCTCATAATCCGTAAAACTTTGCTTCTATCAGCTACTACACAGGACACATTTCCTGTTTTTTAGCCGCAGTAACTGTCATTGCCTAGGTCTCAGCACAGCCATCCGCGACGTTCCACGCTCTGTAAACCTACTCCTCTTCGACGATTATGATAGCCTGGTATCAGGTGGCTAACGACACACTGTCCCGTAGGTACGACACCACACTCGCGCATTACGACTTTTTAATGGCCCCTAAAGATTAACGCATGAATGGGAAACATGAGATCTGACGCCGTCCAACATGGACAAACATAAACATTTTGTCCGACCTTATGCTTGGAACAATAAAATTTGGTGTTAGTTACGATGGACACCACGGCGAGATAAGGGTTAATTAATAACTACGCTTGTGTGGCCAAAATGTACATTCCAAAGCTTTGCGTGCAAACACATGCTTTACGAGGTGCAGAATCGATTCTGGGTGGTGCTACTACTCTACATAACTTGTACCTCAATCATACGATTTACTTTTAATCCTACAGATATTTTACTTGAAAAACTGTTTGCACAATTTGAATTTCGAAGTGTAAAACAATTTTTTAATTTGATTTTATCTAAATTCCGAATTGGGTGTTCCAAAAATTATATCTTCTTTCAGTTAGAGAACGTTTTACTTTTTTTTTGTAGTTCTCCCTTTTCAGGGAAAGCAAAGGGAACAATGCTCATACAGCCTCGTCTTTAGATTTTACTTTTTTGTGTATGATTGAGGTTTAATGTTATTTCTGACCTTCGGCTCTGGGTCCAGACTGCATCTTGGCGAAGTTCCACCGCCGAGGTAGGAGCACGGCATCAGCGTCACCATGTTGTTAGCCGTACATCCCGACACTCACACACAACACACTGACGACAGTCCAAATGTCACACCGAGAGTCTTTTGAGATAGATGCAGATTTTGAGCTGACATTTTGCGCTTATTTTTTGTTTTTTGAGCACATAGTACTTAGAGTTTTCCAATGTTTTGATTTCACATCCATATTTTACTGGAATCTACAATGCAAATGATTATATTTTAGTTGAATATGCTTGAGTTTTATTTACGAGTAAAATTTTAAAGTACGTAATGTCGATTGTTTTTATTTATATAATAAAATTTAACAAAGTGAATAACCTAAAAAGTTGTCAGCGCTAATTATCACGCTAGACTGGCAGCTAGTTATTGAATGGCTGTTAGTCATCGCCCTACAGCGGTCAAGAGTAAAAAAATAAACTTTTGAAAAAGAACTAAAATAAAATAAAAACTAACTCCCAGCCGGACCACCCGCGTAGGTCCGTCAAAATCGAATGTCGAACCAAGAACGCGTTCATCAACTTGTCAAATTGAGTTTGACGTAATTGGGAATAGACCTTTTTTTATCGTATTTCGCGGCTTCATCGCTGCTACTGTTAAATTTAAAAAAGGATGTCTAATCCAACAATAAATAAGTAAGTAAATAATACAGACGTAATTTCAGCGGACAAGAAAAATACCAATCTCATTAAACACAGCATACCTATACCTTCATTAGAACAGATAGTACCTAATGGTGAATAAATAAGAATTTTGTTTATGTAGCTTTTAATTGCACCAAACATTAAATAAGTATTTATAAAGCTTTTAGGTTTATAAATACTTATTCATTACATTCATACAGAATTCCTCTCTTTCCTCGTTTAGTAACATATCACTAAAAATCTCTCGTAATAATTTCATGCTAAATGCATGCAGTATTGCAATCACTAAACAGCCATCATACATTTACGTTACTTCAATACCTTTACCAGATTTAATTAAAAGCAAAATCAATCCTTCCGTTTAAAACATTTTTTGTTATCAAGAAGCTGGACTGTCCACTTCAATTAAACGGCTTGTCCGATTTAAAAAGAGTAAAAAAAAATATAAAGTTTACGTTCCGTTCCACGCTACCATATTAAAAATGTAGATGATATTAAAATAAAATATGGTTTATTAAACAAGTGGGTGTTTGTTTTGAGCCGGTAGGGGGCTACACAGTAGCGTCGGTATCGCCGCGTGATACGAAACGGTAGGGTGTCCACGCGAATGCCACCTAGTCAACCCTGGATTTCACGTTAATCTTAAGAATAAATCTGTGATTTATATCATTACAATGATCATGAGAAAGAATATCCTCAAACGTCCATCCTTATCTCCTAATTTAATTGTATTGCTTCTGTCTCTCCTATCAGCAAAATAGATCATATTGCACTTTGTCAAACAATTAAAAAAAACTTTTTTATAACCTATTTGTTAGGTACTTTTCACATAATAATATGACTAAGGTTTGATACGAGAAAACACCCACATAACATACAGTGCTATTCGGTAAGAACAAAAAAAAAAACACTTCACCGCGGAATTCGCCGGTGTGATTTGAAATTTATTTGAAATTCGTGTTCTAATTTTAAATCACACCGCGGGATCCGAGCTGAAAAGTGAGTTTCTTCTTACACAATAACACATTTGACGTTGTTACTATTATCACAGTGTAGAATACCACATTTAACCACTAGTATGTGTTTAAAAAAGCTTTGTTTCATTTCGGATTAGCAATTTTTGCTGTTCTTTTTTAAGTAGGTAGTTGCAATAGAATTCCAAATAGTTTTTATATCAATTCAGTATTTAATTTATCCCAATTTCCTAGTGTTGGCGAGCTACCTTCCCCCAAGGTCTACCATCGCAACGGGGGGCAAACAACACTTATATTATCGTTTGGCACACGACAACACGGATTGCGTTCGAGTTTTATAATCAACACCTTTAGACCACCAAATATAAAGTCTATAATTGCTTTTAAAGCATTTCTACAGATACAAATTAAAAATTGTCGAACACAAAAAACACATTTCACAAATCAGTCATTATTCTGTTTTGAGTATATTTAATTAATTATTGTTATTATAACCAATATTTTTCTGACATCATTCGGCTTTTTTAATTCGTAGTAATTCTGAATTAATTAATTTTGTGGATTACGTAAAGATGTTAACAATAGTGGTGACAGTATTGGTTATAATTACTATTTTACGGTTTAAATAGTTTAATACAATATTTGGTCTAATAGCAGTGATAAAATATCACAAGTAATAACTGGAGCGCAATTCCAAAAAACTTCAATTTCAAATTTTATTGCGAAGATAGTACCTATATGGTATGTATTTAACAAAATTTATTTATATAATACCATGTCTGTAGATAAACGAATATTACAATGTTCCCACTTTTTATTTTGTAGCACCATAAAATTCTGCTCCCACGAAAGGGTTGTAGGTATATAATACCGTGAAAATGTGTTTATTATAGTTAGACTTATTCAGCATCATAGAAGTCTTGTCAGTTGGTTTCGCTAAAGGTTCTGATAAAAAAATATGTGAAGAGACGTGACAACAGCTTTAACATTCCCAAAATACTATCAAACCTACACCACCACCTGCAATTAAGTATTTTTTTATGTAAAGAAATCATTTGCAATTAATCATAATGACCCGCTGATGGCGCATTGTCTATCTGGTCAATACCAACGTAAAGACAGCATATTTTTCTTGCCTTGTCATTACTTGGTGTCGTTTGCCTAATATGCCGTGTAAAGGGAAGCGGCAACTTGTAAAGACCTCCATTTCACCTCATGGGTGCAACAAACCTTAGTCACTAGCACAACACCGCTAAACAAAGGGTAGTTACACCACAGTGATCTTGTAAGCTTGAGGTTTAAGTTAATACCTCCGGTTCATTAAAAAAAAAACGCTAAATCCTTACTCTCAAAAATGATATAATTACATATTCAGCTCTCAATGAGAGCTACATATTTGTGCCGTTTGGTATGGAGACTATGGGACCATGGGGTCCAAGCGCTCGTTCCTTCTTTAAGGAATTGTCTAAGAGACTCACCGAGGTGACCGGTGATCAAAAGGCTGGCAGCTACCTCGGCCAACGGATTAGCCTCGCTATCCAACGTGGAAATGCTGCCAGCCTATTGGGCACCATTCCTGACAGCGGCGCTGGGGGTGATATATTTTTTTTATTTTGTAAATTGTATTTTATTAATGTTCTTAGTTATTTCTGGTTTTTACGTTTTTAGACATTAGGTAGTTTTAAGCTTTTGTAAACTCATATCTTTTATTCCAATAATTAAATGCATTACATAAAATTAAATTTTACAGGAGCTGTGTAAAATCTACAGTGAGGTTTTGGCATGGTTACTAATTTATAAATTTAGTGATTTTAACACTGTTTTAGGTGGTTTTGATTGAAACTTGTTTGAGATTCAAATTCGACGGGCCCGAAACCGTAATTATACCGTTTTGTTCGCCAGCGCCCTCTAATTGCCAATTAAATGTTATTTGAACATTTAACTAATAAGGTATCCTTTAGTCAGTCTGTTTATCACAATCACCGATACTAAATACTACACAATCTAAACGATGGAATGCAAATGCATATCAAATATTATTATTCGTCAAATAAAATCGCATGCGCCCGCGCACCTTCCGTCCGATCGTCCACGTCGATCGATAATTTGACTGTGTTTACGATCGAATTAAACTCGATTGTTTGTAGAATATTGTACTGCTCAACTGATTTACTGAGATTAACTTCGAACATACATTTTAATGAGGCTTTTGTGGTACCTACATAGTGTGAACCAAGGCTCTTTGGTATCATAGGTAAAATAAAATAAATAAATATAAATATTTCGAACACACACCAATTAGCCTAGCCCCAAAGTAAGCACTGTAAGGCTTGTGTTATGGAATGCTAGGGTAACGGATAGAAATATATATTAAACATCCATGACTGGAGTACAAATGCTCGTATTCATCATACAAACATCTGCCCCCACCGGGATTCGAACCCGGGACCTCTCGAGTCGGCGGCACCATGAAACCTGGCGTTCAAACCACTCGGCCACGGAGGTCATCCAAAAGTGGGACTATTCATTTTTATTATCTTCTCTAGAACAAACTTTGTTCTAAAATTACTGTACATTGTATAAATAAAGTATGCCAAATCGTTTGAGTACAATTGAAAAGAATTATCGTTCAGCCTACAACTTTTTTTTAAAGCTCTTGCTAAATTTTCATGTACCTATACGAAACCTACGTTTTCCATAGGGGCCTCTCGAAGAGAAGAACATTATTAATTTTCATACACGCAGCAATGCATTCATACTTTTTCTGGGTTCTCGCAGTAGCAAATGTTATTGTTAATGCTTATATTGTATTCATCATCATCATCATCAGCCTATTAATGTCCCCAATGCTGGGGCACAGGCACACATGGATGGAAAAGGGAGAATGGGCCATTACCCACCACGCAGGCCCAGTGCGGATTGGCGGGTGCTAACGACTGCATATGCAGCCGGGACCAAAGGCTTTACGTGCCTTCCGAAGCACGGAGGAACTCGAGATAGAAGATTTTTGGTCACCCATCCAATGACCGACCACTGCGAAACTTGCTTAACTTCAACGATCGCAGCCGAACGCGCTAACAACCCGCGCCATCGAGCTCCTCATATTGTATTATGGTGTTATAATAAAGAGTTATCATATCTGTCTCATTTTATCTTTCATCTTTAAATCACACCGCGGAATCCAAGGTGAAATGTGAGTTTGTTCTTACAGAATAGCACTGCCGATGCAATCCAATCATTCCCTCAGCAGACGTAAGCTCGAACTCTGGCTAGTATCTCATAATTTTAATATATAAACATTGCTCGAACAAGGCCTATAACCGCCTATAAGGTAGACCGGACCGGTCGTGGTTCGATATAACCGATACAATCAACACACGGGCCTATATTGGGCATAAATTTATCGATTAACATCAAAACATCGGATATGCTTGTACACCTATTATAAAATACGTTTCTAATCGATAATCAGGAATGAATTTAGCCATTTAAATACAGTATTTGCGATATATATTAGATTAAAGATATTAATGGGCTTGTTATCATGGACCTTGTTTTTTATGAGTCTCCGATAATTCGGCACTGTTGCAAGCGCCATGAACACG